GCTCTTGGTCAGACTCTTAGTCAGAATCAACCTCTTGGTCCCCAAGTGGCGCTGTGATAATGGTAACAGCCAGATCTACAATGGCCTTGGGTATAGAATCTGTCACTACAAATGAGGTTTAGTCAGCTGTAGCGCAGAGGAATTGGATTATATCCTGATGGATTGTTTGCAGGTCCTTCCTGTATGGCGCAGCCTGTTGATAGTGTCATCAACAATAAGTCCAGTTGGATGTGGTTGAAGACATCCTGGTCATCTGTAATGTTTTGAGTCCTTTTATCAAGTTATCTATTATGACAGGTATTAACGCATGAAACACAGGCAAAGTTTGGCCACATAACATCATTCAAGTTCAAAGTTGGACCTCTTGGAAACCGGAATTGGAGCAGTGACTTTCAAGAAAGTAGGATAGTGGACAGGTCTGCAGGAGGAGGTTGTCTGCACAGTGATCTTAATCTTTCAAGTATAGTATCTTGACTTTTTCAAGTGTAGTATTTTGCTTTAAAGGATGGGGTTTAACTAGTGAGCAGTGAACATCTTGGTGTGTATCCTGTAGCCTATTTAATGCCTAAAAGATCCCTCAAGAGAGTGTAAAGACTTCTAGCCTTTACGTACACAATGGCAGAGTGCCTGCTACTTCCACGCTGTTAGCCTCTTGGCGTGGTCTCTGCAGTCCATTACTGGTTGGTCTTTTTAAGTATACTATTTAGCTGTTTAGTATTGTTTACAGCTATGGAGTATGGTGTTTACTAGGAGTGATTTGTGAGCATCTTGTGGTATATTTTGCTACTCATTTGCGGCTCCAAATTACTCCTGTGTCTCATACAAATTTTTCAAGTACCCTTTCTAAAGTCCTAGTATTTACTAGTTCTTTCAAGTCTGCTAGTATTTGGCATTCAAGCGTTACCTCTAGCTTTCAAGTATGGTGAGCAATATATTGTAGAGACTGTCAGATGTCTGTTTATTTTGTGTCTCCATTGTGGCTCATTTACTGCTCAAGTGCAGTTCATATAAGGCTCAAGTACTGCTCATTTGAGGCTTAAAATGTTATTCTGGCTCACATAGGTTGGTGAAACATCTTTCCAGATACCAATAATTGTACAGGGTACAACCCTGATTCAAGCCACCAAAGTTTTTTCTATTCCATATATGAGCTGCGCCCTTTCCCCCTCCTCTCCCTTCCTTCTCTCGATACCATCAAAAATAACTCGTTTTATCAACTACTCAACATACCATCAATCCACCCACCCTGGGTCTGCAAAGACACAGACCAGACTGACCTCAGACTAAGTATCCACTAGCAAGTACTCAGTTCAGGTTAATGACAATGATACATTCACAGCTAGTAATTCTCCGTGAAGTATTTTCCAACCTCAGAAGTCCACCAACCACTCAACACAATCCCCCAGACTTTTCCCATTCCTGTTACGGTATGTACAGCACTCAGCTATTATTGCCGCCTATTTTACTTACTTTCGGGTGGTAACTTTCGTCACCAAAAGATTGGTGTGCTCCCAATGTCTGGCCCCCCTCCAACCAGCCCATGATACTAACTTTGAAATGTGGACTTGTTTCTGCAAGACCACCAGGCCATCAAAAAGATGGGAACCTGTCTTGGTACAAGCAAGTTTGTCGGGCCCCAAACAGGGCTACTTGCAGTGGACAGTATAGAGCCTGGCAGTATGCCGTAAAGGGCAAGATGGAGCATAGATGGATTACAAGGCACAGGAGCAATACTCCAGCCCAATAGTGGGTCATTCAGTCCTATGCCATTGCAGTGGAGCCCACGGCCAGTAAGGGGACAGTGCACCTCTAGTAGTCCGACATTCCGAGGGACAGGCGATTCACCACAGGTTAGGATTTTTTATTCAAGAATGTGGCAAAAAAGGATGTGAGAACTTTGCTGGTAATAGGTCTGGCTGTTGCTCCATCACCTCCTGTTCCTGTTGTTGTTGCTCCAGGAAATAATGGTAAGTTCCCTAAAGTTGGAAATACCTGATTATTATTATTTATGCGAATACAGATCCTATAGGTTTTGTGGGACAACACACTATCCACCTATGGTTTGACATACCATGCAAGGTCTGCCTAGGCGATTTGCTCCTATCCAGACTGGACAAGGTCCAGTGGTAAACCAATGGAACTGTCTCCTTGCTGGAGCTGACACAACCTAACTTGTCCCACCTGCTCTCTCAAATAAAAGGAAATGTGACTGAAAGGAATGGGTTTCAACATCTCAATGGCTCCACATGGTACTGTACAAGGTTACTCCACTATCATCTGGATGAGCCACTACCACTAACATAGAAAATTTGCAACATGTCTAACGATGATGTCCTCACTAGGTGGGGTTGGGTCAGCCCAACGAACCAGTAGACCTGTTTTTCCCGTACTATCTTGAGGCAGATGATGAGCCTGGAAGATCTCCCCAACATGGTCAGCCATATGGGCCACAGAATAACTGCAAAGAGGAGAAGCAGGCAGAGGTGGAGGCATAGGAGGAGCAGGAGGAGGAGGTGGAGGAGGAAGATGAGAATAAGGGGGAAGATGGAGATGAAGAAAACAACGAGGTCTGCCAGTGAAGGGGATCAGTGCAAGCCATGAAAAAAGAAGTTGAGGTTGAAGGCTAAGACAACAGGTGCTGCCCACCCACCATGCCATAGTAATTGAGCTTCACTACATCCAGAGGACACCAACACTCATCTATTGAGGTCCAGTAGGTGACTACTGGTAGCACTTATTGGAAATGCTGACCAAAAGAAAATAGCAGAACCATCTAGCTTGGTGGCTGTCAACACTTCCAGGAAGTGTGATCTGGCCGTGATGACAGGATCTGATAACTCAAAGTGCCCAGCCAATGTCAGAGAATCTCCAATGACTGTAGCTATGATGTCTCATATACTTACTCCGCCAAGAAGCCCTTACCTGTCTCCCGATAATCTGGATTCTAATGCTACCTCTGAGATCATTGAGCAGGCAGATTTGCTCTGCCAATTGGCTTCATAATATCTAGTGTGTAACTCTATCCTTTTTGCGCTGATTTCTGCTTTGGATTAGCCTGCTCCAATAAAGGTTGCCTACTTGGATACAATGTAGCTGAAATGAAGTCTTACAGGCGATGTAGTAGTCTCGCTAGTATCATACTTGGCCTGTCGAATGCTTGGGCTGTTCTTTGGTGCATTTCGATTGCAGTTTTGCTTGAATGGGTTTTACTTGAATTGATTTCGCTTTTGTTTTATGGTTCCTTCACAGCTGTTCTTCGTTTGGTGGTGTTTGCTCTCCTGAATATTACCGACTCACATTGTCCCATTTCTTTCCCTGCTGTTTTTGGTCTGGTTGCTTTCGATTTGTATTTCATTTTTATCAGTTTTGCACATTCTTCCCTTTATTCACAACTGGTGGATTTTGATTTGAAATTTGTTTTTATGAGTTTTGCGGACACAGATTGGTCCTGCTCTTTCCTGCCTGGTTTTTGTTTTTCTGATTTGGATCACAGTTTTGTTTTTTGGAATATTGCGCATTGTTCCGCTGCTTTCCCACCTTTTTTTCAATCGCCCTAGTTCAGCGATTCGCCGACGGATGGTACAGACAGATCC